TATAAAAGATCAATGCATTAAAATCTATCCCATTTCTTTATACTGACAATGAATCTGTGGAAACCAAATTAAAAATACAATACCATTTACAATTACGCCAAAGAAAATGAATTACTTAGTTCTATGGCCTGAATTGTGTCCCCACCCAAATTCATATGTTGAAGCCCTAAGCCCCAATGTGACTGTATTTGGTGATAAGGCTTTTAGGAAGTAATTAAGGTTAAATGAGTTCAAAAAGTCAGAGTCCTAATCCAGTAAGATTCGTGGCCTTAAAAGAAGAGGAAGAGATCTCCCCCTGCCCCATCACATGCATGCACTGAGGAGATGCAATGTAAGCACTTGAAGAGAACTCTAACCAGAACCTGACCATGCTGACATCCTGATCTTGGACTTCCAGCATTCAGAACTGTGAGAAAATAAATTTCTGTTGTTTAACCCACCCAGTCAATGGTAATTTGTCATGGCAGCCCAAACAGACTAAGATACTTAGGTATGTATTTAACAAAACATGTACAGTATTTTTATGCTGAACATTAAACTACACTGATGAAAATAATCAAAGAATAACTAAATAAATGGAGAGGCATACCATGTTCAGAAATTGGAAGACTCAACATAGTAAAGATATCAATTCTCCCCAAATTGATCTGTAGTTTTAATGCAATTCAATATCAAAATTCCAGCCAGGTTTCTGTAGACATATAGAAGCTTATTTATCAGCTCTGTGCTTTGTGATGATTTAGAGGGGTGGGACAGGGAGGGTGGGAGGGAGGTTCAAGAGGGAAGGGATGCGGGGATATATTTATGCATATGGCTGATTCACTTTGTTGTACAACAGAAACTAGCACAGCATTGTGAAGCAATTATACTCCAATAAAGATGTATAAAAAAAATAAAAAATAATAAAAAAATAAAAGATTATTATACAGAATGTGTAAAGAACTCCTATAAATCAATGGAAGAAACAATCAAAATGGGAGAAGTTGGTGAATAGGCATTTCACAGAAGAGAAAATAAAAATGCTTAATAAAGATGAAGTGCTCAATGTCATTAATTATTGGGGAGATACAAATTAATACAATGATGTTGGTATGCATGAAAAAAAGGTCTGACAATTTCAAATGCTGGTGAGGATACAGAGCAATCTGAATGCTTTTATACTGCTGCTTGGAGCACAATCACTTTGGAAAACAATTTAACATTATCTAGAAAGGAGTGCACTCACATATCGTATGACTAAGCAATTCCACACCTCTATAGATACCGTAGAGGAGTCTCCAGACCAGCAGAACAAGCATTAGAAATAAAAATTCTCAGTCCTACCCCAGACTTTCTAAATCAGAAGCTCTGAGGATGGGGCCAATAATCTAGTTTAACAAGCCCTCCAGGTGATTTTAATGTACACTAAAATTCAAAAACGATCGTCCTAGAGATACTTTTTAAGACAATATATATGTATATATCTATATCTATATCTATATTTGCAGATTTATTGAGGTATAATTTACATATCATAAAATTGTTTTAAGCGCCCCCTAGAGAAACACTTGTACCAGGAGAGATGTACTTTGGACATTCATAATAGCAATGTTTATAAAAAGTGGAAAGGGCTCAAATGTACATTACAGTAGAATGGATGAGTAAATTTTATATAATTGCTTAATTACTATTCATAAATGAAGGATAATCTAATACAGACATCAATGTTTATGAATCTCAAAAACATAGATGATTTCAACAACAATTTTCAGAAGAGCAAATCCTATGAAATTCAAAAACGTGCAAAATTAAACATATGACTTAGTGATAAATTTTCTGTAAAAAAGAAAGGAAACATTAATTAAAAAAAGACTGGTATTGGTCTATTAAGCTTGTTGATGACTGCTTGGGTGTTATTAAAACCTAAACTGTTCATATATATTATATATGTGCTTTTGTATGAATAATATAGTTAAATAAAAAGAAGAAACATTGATTTTGTCTAAACAGGTGTTTGGTTGTGGACACTCATACAAAAAAGTTGATCAAAAGAAAGAAAAACACTTGAAGGCTACTAAATTTGGGGGGAAAACTGTCTCAAAAATCTTAAGCTTGCCTGGAAAACTCGAGATTCTTCAACACTTACTGTCCCCTGGATTCTGTATTTGCGCCAACCGGGAGTGGCTTGTGAAAGTTGTGCCTATTCCCCAAAAAAGACATTTTCCCCAAAGCCCACACGAGATGTTGCCATACGTGGCTTTGGAATAAGAAATTCTTCAGAAGAGGTACACCAAGAGCTGGGAGGGGATAGGTAAGGGAGATCCTTCCAGATAACAGAATCAGAGGCTGCCTAATCTCACTGGCCCTGAAAGGAACTTTCTCTACTGTTGGAAGTGGGAGTCATTACCACCTGCCCAGCAGTATTTGGTATGTGCCATGGACTCTTGTCTTCTTTTCTTCTATGTATTTCCCATTCTTTCCTTTTCTGAGACCTTCGTATTGTAATTATCCTATTCTATCCTCATTACTATAATATTAGGTATTTTGTGATGCAAAAGAAGTGACTTTCTTGTCCTTTAGCTCTCAACTGCCAAACCGTTAAGAGTGAATGATAGTGGGACTTCCCTGGTGATCCAGTGGTTAGGACTCCGCACTTCCACTGCAGGGGGCACCGGTTCAATCCCTGCTCGGGGAACTAAATTCCCGCATGCTGCATGGAGTGGCCAAAAAGAAAAAAAAAAAAATTCAATGACAGAAAAGACTTCAAACTAGTTTCAGTAGCTGGCTGAGACTTTGGGGTTGCCTTCCTTAGGGGTCTGATGACTACATTTAATGTAAAATGCCTACATTGGGGAGAAGGGTGTGCATGGGTATTAACAGTTCAAGGGGTGAGCTGGGCAGACTAACCAAACACACATTTCTAACTCTCTTCTTGACCTCCTCCATCATAGACCCTGGGAAACGTTAGTCCTATATTTGCTTTCCCAGTCTCCTTTGTACAACCAGGGATGGCCATGTGACATAGTTCTGGTCAATGATACATAAGTGAAAATTTTTTAGAGGGGCTTCTAGGAAAACTCTTTCGTACTTGATAAAAGGAATAGCTGATACTGGTTGCCCTGTTTCTTTCTTCTTTGAATTTGGATATAATTTCAGGGGTTCTTGAAACTATGGGGAAAATGCCCTGAACCAACTCCAGCAACCACCTACCCCAACACTTCTTTAGAAGTGTTTAATTAAGCCACTGTTAGATTATTCTGTCATTTGCAGAAGAAAGCATTCCTAACTTATACATCACTGCAAAATGCTGATACTTCCAATCTCATTTTATGAGGACTTACTATGTAAAATGTCTAATACTTGCCAAGGCAAGTGTCCCTCTTTCATGTCCCTCTGTCCGTCATATTTCCTAGATCAATTTAGATACCTTTGGGAATAAATTATAGTTCAATTATACTTAAAAAATTAAAGCAGAGGTCAAAAACATATACAATATTCTAATTAGCAAAGTTGTCAGTTTTCTCCAAGGTTAGGATAACATTTTCTATTTTGTTCCGAACTCTTATCTGTCATTCCTAATATTTTTGTTGACTCTTTTGGTCAGAAGATTTTTCTGCTCCAGAATCTTCCTGGAAGAGTCCACAACTGCACTAAGACTATTTTAATTATTTCTCTCTAGATTCATTAACTTGTACTTACCTGCATAGCCATTCCCCTGCCACCTTTCTATAAGCTCACATAGCCTGGCACTTTATGCTATTTAATCTTTGTTAGTTTAGCTGCTGCCTAAAAGCAGGGCTAGGTGTTCATAAAGAGATAAAAGCTGGCAGCAGCAGCCCATAGATGTGTTTGGAGAGAGTACTGAGCAGGGCTCCTTCCCCTAAAATAACCCTAATTTCAGGATCACTCCTTGACCCAACTGTTGAAAGCCTTTTAACCTTAAAACGTCTCTATAAAAATGCAAATGTGGCTGGGAGGTTTCAAAGTTTATTGGCTAAGATTGAGTTAGGAGGTAACACTTTGGGTAGAGAGTAATTAACAAAAAGTAGTAAGGGTGTCAAAGTTGGGAACGAGACCTGCCTGACTGCCTATGGAGGAGGACCGACTCTAGAACGGAAGAAAGGGCAGTGAAAAGGAAGGGGGGCACTTAAGCAATCTGTCTATATCATATTTTGCCTTTGGGACCTGAACTATCCAGGGAAGTATTTTTGAAATAAAGTATTGGAGCTCAACGAATTATTTGTCTTATTGTTTGTGGATTCTCCCTCCCAGATAATTTATAGAGGGCGCTCAAGCTGACCCCTAGGGAGCCTCAGAGTTTGACTCAATAATGATGGATTCCCTACCTCTTTTCCAGGTTACTGAACCAGATTCTGTGCAAATTACTAATCGCATTGTAATTCAACCTTGAAAAGGATTTTGTGGAGAATATTTCCAAAGGTTTAAAAACATCTTAACTGAATTGTTTCTCCTTGTTTCCGCTTAAACCGCTACTCAATTTCTTTGAAGAACATGTTGCTTTAGCGACAACCAAACTAGACGCAGACACTCAGGACTACTGATTTTACACCACAGTTTTTTAAACGCCAAATTTGAAAACACGGCTGGGGATTATGGGGAGGTGGGCCTCACACGTTCCAGAACCTTCTCACAACCAGCGAAAAACGCTGCACAAAGAAATAACCCATGTTCTGTTCATCCATTATATGCAAGGCATTGCACTCCCTCGTCACTCGTTATTTTACCTGCCACACCAGGGAAAACGAGAGGGACAAGGTTTGCGGAGGCCGGTAAACAGCAACCCGAGCGCGGCGGGGTTGAGCGTGGAGGCCAGGTTTCTCGTGGGCAGCCAGGTGGAAGCGCGCGGCCTGCGTGGTCACCGCGGTCTTCCTGCGGGCCAATCGGGAGGTGGGTGGGAGGGGGCGCGGCCGGCCGGGGCGGGACCGGTTTTGGCTCCTCGGGGTTCTGCTCACGTGCGCAGGGCGGGCTGGGGCCCTAGAACCGGCGCCTCCCGGTTCCCCTCCCGCCATGGAGCGGCTGACGTTGCCCGCCAGCAGCGCGGCGGCCGTGGACGAGTACATGGAGTACCGGAGGTGAGGCGGTGGCTCCGCGGGGCCAGGAGGCCCCGGGCAGGCCCGGTCCGTCTCGCTGGAGGAGCTCTGGAGGCGCGGGCCGGCCCGGTCCCCGTCGCGGGAGGAGCGCTGGAGGCGCAGGCAGGGGCCCAGCGCTGGCTCGCGAGGGCTCCCGGAATCCCTTCCCGGGCTGGTGGGGGAAGCTTACATTGATTGCAGGTTTTCTCTTTCTGTAATTAAATATTGTACTGACACGCAGTTCTATTCTAATAAGTTTCTTCCGAGGCAATTTAAAAGGCCTCCCGGTCTGACCTCTTTGAGGAAGGATTATTAACTAGATTTATGCAAAGATCCTTTTTTTTTGTTTTCTTCTGAACTGCCAGCGTAGATTACACATTGAGTACTCGGGGCCTGTAAAAGCAGACATCAAGTTTGCATGTTAACTTAGTAATAGGGTAAGTCGTGAGCTTCTGAACGTGCTCCCAACCCCGAGGGGCTGGTTTTAAGAGAAAGACACTGGTGTAGTGTTGGTGGTTCTGGAGAAACTCTTCTCTGGAAACTGGAAGTGCAGCCGCTCCTAGGGCTTTAGGGAGTGATTCAACTGCCTGGGGCCCTGACAAAGACCGATGCACCTGTAGCGAAGTGTTTTTTCGGTCTCCCAAGAAAGGTTTTTTTGTTTTCTTTTTTGATGTCTTTATTGGAGTATAATTGCTTTACAATGGTGTGTTAGTTTCTGCTTTATAACAAAGTAAATCAGTTATACATATGTTCCCATATCTCTTCCCTCTTTTGTCTCCCTCCCTCCCACCCTCCCTATCCCACCCCTCTAGGTGGTCATAAACCACCGAGCTGATCTCCCTGTGCTATGCGGCTACTTCCCACTAGCTATCTGTTTTACGTTTGGTAGTGTATATACGTCCTTGACACTCTCTCACTTTGTCCTAGCTTACCCTTCCCCCTCCCCATATCCTCAAGTACATGCTCTAGTAGGTCTGCATCTTTATTCCCGTCTTATTCCTAGGTTCTTCATGACCTTTTTTTTTTCCTTAGATTCCATATATATGTGTTAGCATACGTTATTTGTTTTTGATAGTTGGGAAACTGGGTGAGTGGGAATTACTGGAGAGGGACAGGCAGGAGGAAGGGGAGTTGAGGCGTGTGTATGTGTGTGTGTGTGTATGTGTAAGGGGTAAGTGAGACAGTCGTATCCTCACCTGGGAAACTTGAGCGGCCTGAAACCCAAACCAGAGGAGTTGCTCTGCTTAAAGGTGGTCGCCCCAAATTACTTGGGCAAATGAGTTCCTATCTGACTGCACTTCCCTCTGGCTGTCTAGGTGGCATAGTTTTGGGTAATGCCTTGAAATGTTTTGGTAATTCTGAGCCAGAAAAAGTGAGGGTGAGAAGCTTGATGGGTCAGGCCTCATTCCTGGTTCGGGTAACGCAAGGAGACTTGTGCCCAGAACAGCTTCCACCCAGCCCTCACGTAGGGCAGAGCGGGCTCTTTGAGGCTCCAAGTCTTACATTTCCCTGGGAGCAAGTTGCTGGGTCCTGAATTTGACTGGTAACTTAGATATTTAGATATTCAGGTATGTGGAATGTGGGCCTTCAGTTGTAGTCTCTTGCCTGGCCCAGAAAATGTTAGGGCCTGGGAGGAAATTATTTTTCAAACATAAACTACCTGGAATAATTCTCTAAAAGTTAGGGGCTTGCTGCTCAAAGTGTAGCAGTCGTGGCATCACCAGGGAGCATCACCAGGCCCTCTTCAGGCATTTTAATCTTAATCTTCATTTGAACTAGATTTCTTTGGGATTCTGTAAATAAAGTTTGAGCTACACTGGTTTAGAACTTAAAATCAAATGATCTCTTTCTTTTAAGATCTGCATTGATTTAAGGTCTTTTTAGTACCTGTTGGTATACTTCTTGGTAGCTATAATAAAGTGGCCCAAAACTTATCTCAGAATAAAATGCCCTTTGTTTTTATTTTTTTTTTACTATTGTGTATCTAAATTATTTAAGTAAGGAAGAAGCTTGTAATGGTTTCATAGCCTCTGAGTTGGTTTTATTTATCTACCTCAGCTAAAGGCTTGAAAGTATGGAAAAGAGTATGGATTGCACCAAAAATTATGTAGCATTCTGCAAACAACATTTTTCATGACTTTTAAAGGGGGTATTTTCAAGGAGATGTTTCTTCAATTTTAATTGTGCTTCCTTTTCCTCCAGGGAGTCCAATTCTTAATTTCCTAAGAAATTAAGAAATAGTGTTGGCTTAATTTTTCCCATAAAATTTTGAGGTCGGTCTTCTGGAATTAAACAATGTTGCACCTGATCACTCAATGCATATGTTGGGTTTGAGCTGGTGCAGATCCAAGGGTGTTTGTGGGTCCCATCTTAGTTTAAACTCCTGGCCACGGTTTGGAGTCAGGTGTGGGCATCAGTCATGTTGTCTTCAGCGTTGGTGTTTTTTGTACCATTTGTTTTTTTTGGGGGGGCTATTTTTTAAGGAGGAAAATATTAGAATTTTTTAGCAGTTTAGGCTCTGGCTTTTAATGGGAAAAATGAGCATGTTTGCTTCAGAATCAAAGGAGAAACTGAGATGAATATGTGGTAATTCTCTAGCGGTAAACCTGGATCATTGAAGTCAGATGTTATGAATTCATTGACTTTCTTATTCATAATTCTCTTTTATATGGGAAGCAAAAGCTTTATTACTATTGTGTGTAATTTTGCTATTAACATGAGCCTAAGTAAAAAAAGCCGAAGCAGAGTTTCCTTTGACTATACAAGTATAGCTTAATTTTAGTATTTTTAACCTGGAAAATAAATACACAAGGCTTAAGAGAAGTATTTTTTTGTTGTAGAATTGTTGGTGAGGATGATGGAGGGAAACTTTTTACTCCTGAAGAATATGAAGAATACAAAAGAAAAGTCTTACCTATGCGTTTACAGAACAGATTATTCGTGAGCTGGCGATCACCAACTGGAATGGATTGTAAGCTTGTGGGTCCAGAGACACTGTGTTTTTGTACACATAGGTAAGATATTTTATTGCTAAGGTTTCTGGTGATTAGGAAGTATAAAACTGTAGCAGAGCATATCTTCCTTCTATAAATACTATTATTGGTGATAATTGGGAAACATTTGAAAACAGGCTTTTATATACCAATAATATGCCAGAAATTATTTAAGGTTTTTTGGGGCTATATTTTAAAAATTTCTGTTGTATCCTATTAGAACTCATTATGGAGTCTATCACCTTAAGCATCTTTTCTCTTACCATTGGTTAGAAAGATATTGGTGCCCCTGTGGCTTTGCCAGGGGTCTTTCAGTTAGGCTGGGGAGCAGAGTCTGCCTCTCCCACCACTGGACAAGGTAGTAGAGGAGGGGTCATCAGATGGCAGAGCTGATTTTATTTTTATTTTTTTATCTGCAGAAAGAGTTTATTTTATTCATTTTTACCTTTCATTATAAACATTTTCAGACACACTCAATATTGGAGAGTATGGTGTAATCGAACCCCACATAGCCATTCTTCAGCTTACATAAGTTATGCAGAACTGATTTTAGAGTTGCTTGAGTTGAGCTACACTGAACAGGTTACCAATCTACAAATAGAAGCATTTCTCCTCACATTTACTAATCTCCCTTTACACTTTAAGAAGTGTTGTATGAATACCTTTCCCTTTTATTTATACACACACACACACACACACACACACACCTGTGAAGGATTGGTTCCAGGACCCACTGCGGACACCAAAATCTGGGGATGCTCGAGTCCCATAGCTGGGCCTTCCTGTCTGCGGATGTGGATTCAGCCACCCTCAGATCATAAACATAGTAGGAACACAATACATGGTTGGTTTAATGCCCAGATGAGGAAGCCATGGACACTGAGGGCCTACTGCATATTTACTGGAAAAAAAAAAATCTGCAGTTTAAACCTGTATTGTTCAGGGGTCAACTCTGTGTGTGTGTGTGTGTGTGTGTGTGTGTGTGTGTGTGTGTGTGTGTGTGTGTGTGTACGTATATATATATACCTTTCTTTAAACAAAAATACAAGCACACAGCTTTTTATTACAAGTGGTCCTCTTCTGAGAAAAGCACATGGAGGAAAGGAAGTACATGAGGCTCCAACCATTGATGTGTGTTACCTATACCTGAGGTTTGCATTTTGCTGTGTTTATCCTGTTCTACTTTAAATTTTATGACTGTCACAGGTCTTAGTTGTAAAGCTCAAAGGGACATAGCTGCTTCAAGGAAAAATCACAGAAACTATTACGTGGTTTTAGGTAACGACTTCAACTTTCTGTTCCAAAGGAACCATGGGAGAGCCGCCCTGTTCTGATAGTTTCTGGAGCTCTTTCCTGAGGTACTCTGTGTAGTTGCTGTTTACAGACTTGCAGTTTGCTGGAGGTTGTTAGGCAGTTGCTAGGATAAATAATGTTGTGTATAGATTGACTTGAAATTTATTTAGCAACCCCAAATAAAAACACTGTGGAGGAATGGAGGATGAGGGTTATGTTGATATCTTTCAGAGATGAAGAGGACTTTGGTAAATTTATGTTAGTTTTATCATTTATTCTTGTAAAAATTTAGTGCCAGTCTCATATCTATGTATAATTGTACAGCATGGAATTAACCTTCAAAAGTGACCCAACCCCACTTGGATGGAAAAGTTCTTTAGTACCAGTCACTCAGTGAGATCTCTGTCTGAATTAATTTTTCCCTATTATGGATGTGAAACACTGGTTATTTAAGGAAAATGAGGAATATATAGAAACGTAGGAAGAAGACTCACCACCTAAAGCCAGCTGCTGTTAATATGTTTTACTATGTTCATGTACTTTTTTCTTTACATAGTTCATTTAGTTGTTAATTATATGTATGTATAAATATTGAACCAGTTTTTCATTATAGAATCACGGAAATGTTTCCACATGGTTCGTAGTAATTGCAAACAAGATTTTTAATACCTGCTTGATATTCCAGCTAGTCCAGTGGTGTTCACTGTGTTTTCCCCAGAGCTATGACGGAGTCTCAGGGGCGTACCAGGTGGAAGGGCAAGTTAGGGGAAGGACAGACTCCAATTATGGCTCTTCGCCTTGCTTTAACCAATTCTGCTTTTATCTATTTTGTATAGTATTATGGTTCTGTAAAGGATTTTATTTAAAGAAAAGTTTTCACTGGTAAAAGTTTGAAAACTTTCTTCTAGTAATATACTTATCCATTCCCTTATTATGAGTATGCTTTATATATATTGCTATTGTAAGTACTGCTGCTAATGCTATCCTTACGCACAAAGCCCTTTATATACATGGAATAATTTTCTTAGGGTATATTCTTCAAAAATGAACCATCTTTTTATGTTTCTTGAAACCCTATTAAATGGGTTTGGTTCTTTTGTAACACTCATGACAGCATTGTGAAATATGTACAGTTAAGAAAACTTTGGCTCTCTTTGCTAAGTGAAAAATGGTATCTCATTGTTATTTTAACTTCTATTACCTAGGATAATATTGAGAATAATAAATTTAATATTATTTTACTGAGTATCACTTAATGAGAAGGAAGCCAGTGGCCTGAGAAAATTAGGTACAGCATTTTAACAAAGAGCTTTGGCTTTGAAAGGTGTTGATAATTTATTTTGAAGTTTAAAGTTAAAAATTAAATTATATTAAAATAAATAGCATTATTATATGTTTATTGAACTTTTTTCAATTTTGAGTAGCAAACCTGTGAAAATAAGTGTAAATAATGCACTTTGATAAAAAGAATTTTCATGAAGAAGTTTTTTCATGCTCTTGGGTTGTGCTTCTGTATTAAAGAATCTGTAGTGGTATTTTAAGAGAATTATTTGCTATTTCTTTGTATATTGTTGTGAAAATTCTTCTTAAATAATTAAAAATAAAAATCTAGATGGGTGAAGATTTTATCTGACCAAAGCAACATAGCTGACAAATACTGCATTCAGGGGAGTGTATTTTCAACCTTACTGATAAGAACAATGAAACAAAAATAAAAATGAAAAAGAATCATTTTGCATTTAACAGAACAGCAGTTGTCATTTCTGGCAGTACCTGCATTGTGCTTTTATTTCTTCTCTTTTATTTTTTTTTTAGGTATAAGCAACATAAAACTGACTTTGAAACGATTCCTCAGCAGCGCCCCATCAGTCTGCCTTGTCAAGTGACGGGCTGCCCATGCAGGGCTTACCTCTATGTGCCTCTGAATGGCATGCAGCCCATTCGCTGCAGGTGCAAGCACTTTGCTGATCAGCATAGTTCTGAGCCTGGCTTTATGTGCAATGCCTGTGAGTTACATTATGATAAATACACAAACAGAATGCTTTTATCTCCTTATTGAATGTTTAATGTGTCTCTGTGCCAGTTTCATTCAGCTACAGCGACATTAAACAACTAGGATGATGGATAGCTACTCTAAAATTTTATTTTTGTGGAAAATCTCAGTTATTTATATGCTTTGCAGTCATCAACCTTAATCTCTAATCTCAACCTTAATCTCATGTAATTCAAATAAGTTAAGTAATAGTAATAGATTTTAAAGAATCGTTAGACGTGATCTGATTCAAATTTTTGAATCGTGGACATTTTACCAACTGAATTCTATTTACAGAATAATAATCCTTAAAAAGGATTTTATAAGTCTAAAAAATTTGTATAATTTGCTGGCCGATTATTATGTTATTGCCTAAGACATAGATTGATGGGAAAAGCAAAATGTAACATGATGCTTTTAACACTTTGTAGGCAATAGCACCCTTATCTCAACACCTATACCCAAATCCCAGCCACCATCCCATATACCCTTTCTCTTCATCATCCTTTTAAAAACCCTTTGAAATAGATAGGATATATTTTTAAAATTCTTTTAAAAATTTTATTTTATTTTTACTTATTTATTTTTGGCTGCATTGGGTCTTCATTGCTGCGCACTGGCTTTCTCTAGTTTTGGCTAGCCGGGGCTATTCTTTGTTGCGGTGTGCTGGCTTCTCATTGCGGTGGCTTCTCTTGTTGCAGAGCACGGGCTCTAGGCACACGGGCTTCAGTAGTTGTGGCACACGGGCTCAGTAGTTGTGGTTCACGGGCTCTAGAGTGCAGGCTCAGTAGTTGTGGCGCATGGGCTTAGTTGCTCTGCGGCATGTAGGATCTTCCCAGACCAAGTCTTGAACCTGTGTCCCCTGCATTGGCAGGTGGATTCTTAACCACTGTGCAACCAAGGAAGCCCTAGGTAGGATTTTTTTAAAAATGGGTAAAATATTTTTCTTCAGGAGATAGTTTTTCCAGTTCTTTTTGTAGTATCTTGAATTGAAATCTTATGATGAAATATGTTATAAAACATTTTTAATGACAGTGGCAAAAATAAATATGTTTCACTGATGAAGTATGGAAGTATTTGAATAAAACTTATTTATTATGTGCCTTGGTTCCCATACACATTTGTCAGAAGTGTGAGTGTGTAAAGATTTTGTTAATGGTGTATTCTGGACTCCATTTCAATGTGGCTTGTTTTTGTTTTTTTTTTTTACAAACAGTAATTTTATTGATATAATTCACATACTATATAATTCATCCATTTTGAGGGTACAACCTAATGGTTTTTAATATATTCACAGAGTTGTGCACCCATCACCACAATAAATTTTAGAATATTTTCATCATCCCAAAAAGAAATTCCATATCAATTAGCAGTCATTTCTTATTTCTTCCTCCCCTCAGCTCTAGACGACCAATAATCTACTTTCTGTCTCTGTGGATTTGCCTGTTCTAGACATTTCATATAAGTGGAATCATGGAGTATGTGGTCTTTTCTGATTAGCATCTTTCACTTAGTGTAATGTTTTTATGATTCATCCATGCTGTAACATGCATCAGTACTTCTTTCCTTTTTGTTGTTAAACAGTATTCTGTTGCATCTTTCTATGTCTTTGGGTTGGCCTTCCAATATGGCTTTTATGGGGAATTGACCCACAGAGACGTTTCCACATTATTTCTTCATCACTGGGCTGTCCCCCTCCATACCTGCTTTTAACTCAGTGTTTGAAGAGAGGGCCTGTATTTCCTGGCTCTCCAGTGTTTAGCTCAGTTTCCTTTAGTCCTGATTGGTTTTTCCAATTTTTTTTTTTTTTTTGCTACGTACTCTCTTACCATTTTAGCATCTTTTAAAAGTAAGAGCAGTGGCTGGGAGGGAGTGAGTTCAGGGGCTAGGGGTAAGCGGTACAGGGGCCAGAGCACAGTGTATGAGGGATCCTGATTCAGGTGATTTTGGCCAAGCTAAGTGGTTTATAGGGCATACAGCTCATTACCTATATTTTAAAACGTTTAACTTGGTTTACATCTTGATTCAGGTTCTCAGTGTTCAGGATTCCATAGCTGCTTCACTTGTGCTTGTGGTCAGCCTGCATATGCCCATTACACAGTAGTGGAAACTAAGCAAGAAAGACTGGCTCAGAGAAAACCGGTGGGACGGGACGTTCCTTATGCAGCAATGGGAGGATTAACTGGCTTTAGCTCGCTGGCAGAAGACTACATGCGATTAGATGACAGTGGAATTGGTAAGTGATGATATATGAACTCTGAGCTTATCATATTGTGCTAACACAATATGTGTTATTTGTGCTAACAATAGTGAAGCCTTGTATTTGTTTTGCACTTTAAGTTCTTCATGTTATTTTCAAAAAATATTCTCTCATTTGATTTTTATTTTTTTAAAAAGGTTTTATTGTCACTATCTGATGTATGATTATTACAGAAAAATTAGAAAACATAAGAGAAAAGATCACTCCTACCCCAATACCCATACCGAAATCCCAACTCACAACCCCATTGTTTGTAATAGCGGAATAATAATTTGTTTTATTTGATATGATACAGTTTACCTGTTATCCTATTGTATGTATTTTTTGCCATTATAACCATGTCATTTTGGAAACATAGGCTTTTGTCCATGTGTGTATGTACACGCATGTGTGTACATGTTATCACATCTGTAGTAATGTATGATCATATGCATGTATGTCTACATGTATGCGCACAAATATATCCACTTGCATATATAAAAACTTAAAGTATATCTCAAACTATTGAAGTTAGCTGGATCCTTCTGGGGAAAAGAACTATGGTTCCTATCTACTTTAAATACTTTTATGTGTGTGGATTTTTTTTTCATAAAAAGCATGTATTACTTTTATTTTTTTCATTACAAAGATTACAGAAACATAAATCAATATTTTCTTGTTAAAACAGATTCAAACAAGTCCCCCTTGAACACTTTTCTTAACCCCAGATTCTTTCCTAGAGGGTAATTTGCTGTCGTCAATTGATTTGTATTTCTCTTTTTAACGTACATTTTTATAATGTAAATGTACATTTACTTTTTTAAACTTAGAATAATTTTTGAAGCCCTATTATATCAGGATATACAAATCTACTTAGTTTTTAACTGCTTCATAGTATTCCACACCATAGATATATATCAGTTTTCTGAACCATTTCCTTGTTCATGGCATTTAGATTGTTTCCATTTTATTTTTTTGCCTTTACAAACATCGTGCCCCCCAAATCCTTGAACTTGCTTCCTTGTGTACTACGTGAATTTGACTCTAAGGCAGATGGAGAGAAGTAGAATTGTTGGGTTGAAGAGTGTGCACATGTGAAATTGTAATACGTTCTGTCGAATTGCTCTCCAAAAATGCTGTACTTGTTTATACTTCCTTTAGTGATGTTTTAGCTTACCTATTTCCAAACATTTATGCTGATCATTGATGTCATTAAACTTAGTTTTTTTGCCAGTCTAATGTGTGAAAATGTTATCATTGTTTCAGTTCAGTTGATTTCCCTCATTATTAGTGAGATGAGAGTATTATATTTAGTGGCCATTTTACTTTCTGTGAATTGTCTGTCCATATACTTTGCTCATTTTTATGTTTTTATATTTTCTCATTGATTTATAAGAAGTCTTCTTATATATTCTGTATACTAATCCTTTGTATTTATTTTGCAGATATTTTCTTCCAATATGTCATTTGTCTTTTGGGTTTTTACTTCTTATTGTTGTTGTTTTACAGTTTTTAAATGTAGGAAGCAGGCCTTCCCTACTCTAATTTTATAGATATGTTCTCCTTCATTTTACTTTAATGCTTAATTTTTTTGCTTTTATGTTTAGCTTTCTTATGTATCTGGAATTTATTTTTTGTGAAAGTGTGAGGTGTGTATAACTTCGGGTTTTGTCCAAATTAATGGCAAGTTATCCAAACACCGTTTTTCCCAAATAATTTGAAACTTTACCTTTACCATATTCTATCGTACTTTCTATTTTGTGCCATTGGCCTTAATTGGATATTTCATGCCAATATTTCGTATTTTTAATTACTGTTCTTCATAGTGTGCTTTGATAATTGGTATGGTAAATTCTTCCTGTTTGTGTTCATTTTTCAGGATTGCCTTGAAATATTTGTGCATTTTCTCTTCTAGGTTATTTTATAACTAGCTTGTTAAATTCCATAAATAAATCCTTTTTCAATTTTTATGGATACATGATCGTATTAGGCTCATGCAACAGTTACAGAAAACCCAGTTATCAGTGGCAAACAAAAAAGGATGGTAATGATGTTGTTGATGATAATTACGACTTTGTACTGCGAGGCTTCTTCCAGCCTCTTTATATCTATTACCTCATTTAATCCTCACAACAACTCTGAGTTAGGTGCTATTATTAATCCTTTTTGCAGACGAGGAAACTCAGCACAGAGTAGTAAAACATCTTGTTCTGCGTTATTCAGCTAGTAAGTGGTAGGACTGTGTTCAACCCAAAAATTGTTCTGGGCTCATTAGTCAGACTCATTATTGTCTATTTCTGTGCGACTACCATAATGTTTTCATTACTACAGCTTTATAATAAATTAATATGTATGACTTCATTTTTTTACTTTAGAATTTTCCTGACCTATTCTTCCCTTTTAATTCTTTCAGACCTTTGGCATTGTTTTTTAAAAACATTCTATTATTACAAAACATTCTATTATTTTAGTTGAATATATAGATTAATATAGGAAGATTTGCTGTTTGAAAATATTGTGTCTCTTCATTTCTCTGTCTTCTTCTGTGTAGCTTAGTGGAATTCTGAAGTTATCTTCATGAAAGTCCTGCACAATTCTTAATTTTATTTCTAGATATTTCATCATTTTTATAGCTATCATATATGGATTTTTCCCTTCCTTTATATTTTCTAGCTGATTATTGTTTGCTTATGAAAAAGGAAATGTTGTATGCTGCTTTTGTTACCAGTCATTATTACTTAATCTTAAGATTTTAAATGTATATCTTTAGTTGATTTTGCATATACAGTTGACCCTTGAGCAACAGGGCTTTGAACTGCAAGGGTCCATTTATACATGGATTTTTTTTTTCAGTAGCAAACACTATGATACTATACAATCGGTAGTTGGTTGAATCTGCAGATGTGGAACCGTGGATACGGAAGGCTGACTGTAAAGTTATATGTGGATTTTGACTGTGTGAAGGGTCGGCACCCTTAATCCCTGCACAGTTCAAAGGTCAACTGTAATGATAGTTTTGCTTCTTCCTTTCCAATATTTATGACTCTTCTTACTCTCTGACCAATCAGAATGACTGGTACTTTCAGAACAATGCTAAGTAATAGTGTTAGTAGCTGGCATCTCTGCCTTTTTGTGACTTCTGGTATTTTATCACTTAAGTATCTTTATAAAAATATAAAGAAAAAGAACTTTTCCTTCTGGCCCCTGCTGGAAGGTGGGGTGAAGAAAAATGAGAATGAGGAGAGGAAATATAAGATGTTTTTGTCTTGATTTTAGATGTAGGGGAGCCCGGAGCAGAGGGACGTCTGCTCCATTAGCCATGTAGAGTCCTGGACAGAGTTGATCTTTTGCTGGAATTTGTTCCTTTGTGATGATACTGAAGGAGCCCGTAGTAATTCCCAGCTCCTGTCGGGTGCTTGGAAGTTAGGCAGCTGAGAGGTCTGTACTTCTAGTGAGAGCGTGTGAGGCTACCAGGCTCTACCAAGCTGAGAGACTAAATTGCAACTTTTGCCAGCCTTTAGCGTTTGAGATCAGTAGCGCACACGGCCACCAGAGAACACACAAGGACCTGGCTGGACCTGAGCCCCCTTCTCTGATCTTCCCACAGGTCACAAGAGGGAGGAGCTGGGGAAGGAGGGGTGCAGGAATCTGAAAGGCTGAGCAATTGTCCCACAGTATTCACTTTATAGGAAAGGACTAAAAGTTTATTTCCTACTCTCTGCCCGTGGATGGGGATAGGCATGTGGGGGAGGGGTGGTTTGTGAAGAAGTAGAGGACTTATTAATTTTTTCTGCAGCTTCCTTCCTTTCGGTCCAAAAGTGAATGTAGCAGTTGGTCTTTGTTTGTAGTTTGTGGTTTAGGATTGTGATTGTTTCCTCATTTCATTGAAGAAGTTTTCTTTATTTTCTTTATTTTTTCATATTTTGTTTTTAGATGGTTTCCCAGTAAGGAATAGAGGAAAAATACACTTATTCTATCCTCTTTAACTAGAGGTTTTAAAATTCTGAATGTCTTGCTTTTGATAATGTTTTGTGATTATGTTAAGGTCTTATACTTCTTTGCTGACATACAATTACATTCATGCATTTTTTTTTTTTCTGTGAGAAAGGTCTCTGAGAAATGCAGAAGTACTTTTATCCATTTGCCTTTACTTTATATGGCAAAAATTTATGTAGGGCTTCCCTGGTGGCGCAGTGGTTGAGACTCCGCCTGCCGATGCAGGGGACGCGGGTTCGTGCCCCGGCCCGGGAAGATCCCACATGCCGCGGAGCGGCTGGGCCCGTGAGCCACGGCCGCTGGGCCTGCGCATCCGGAGCCTGTGCTCCACAACGGGAGAGGCCACAACAGCAATACAGTGAAGAAAAGACAGTCTTTTCAACAAATGGTTCTGGAACAACTGGATATCCACATGCAAAAAAAAAAAAAAAAAAAAAAAAATTTATGTAAACAAAAATTTTCATTGTACAGAAAGGATTTTTATAATGATTCTGCTTGGGGCTCTAATTTATTTCACATTTGAAATAACTTCTTTGTATCCTAACAAATAAAGATTTAATTTTCATTCTTCACATATTTTGTTCTCAGGTGCACCTTCAGGTGAATTGTTAGACTCTCCAGTTACAGCCATGGACCACCCATTTCTAAAAGCATTTCAAGCATCATCTAGCTCTTCTCCAGAAACACTAACAGATGGTAATGAAATTAAATTGAGAAATATTTTTGGATGTAGTAAAGAATATAGATTGATACATTTTCCAGATTACTCTTTTTTTCCAGTATTACCACAATTTGATTATCATTTCACTTTTATATTGTCCAGGCACTGAGAAAAAGCAATAATCTTCATTTTAATTGGGAAAAAATTGTTAAATCTTGGAATTATGAGGATTCTGAAAATACAAAAATTTGGAGTTTTAAAACCTTATTCTGGTACATGTTATTGCTTTGATCTGTATAAGAGAGCCCTCTAGTGGACTAATTGCCTTGATCCTTTAGGCTCTCCCAAACAAGGTGTAATCCCTTTATAATTATAGATTAGCAAGGTTTTACCATTAATAAATTGCACATAAAAATGAATAAAGTTCATTTTTATACATTTTTAAGTATTCTGTTTCCTTTATTGGAAACAAGAATAAAAACGAAGGAGGAATTTGTATGATTTATGAGGTATTTAATATTTTAAAATATTCTGAAATGAGAATTTTCTTTGACTTATTTGTGTTTTCATACAACCTTTTCATGTACACTGACTTTTTGCGCAAGGGATTTGCACAATGAAGTAATTACAAAATGTAGATAGAAGTAAGAAATCAAAACAAAAGAAAAGGACACAATTGTGTCACTTTATTTTAGTGAGGTATAGTCGATTTACAGTATTATATTCCTTTCAGATATACAACATAGTGATTCAGAATTTGTATAGATTATACTCTATTTAAAGTTGTTATAAAATATTGGCTATATTTCCTATGCTGTACGATATATCCTTGTAGCTTATGTATATGTTGTAGTTTCTATCTCTTAATCCCCTTCCCCTATCTTGCCCCTCCCCAATTTCCCTCTTCCCACTGCTGACCACTAGTTCATTCTTGATATCTGTGAGTTGTGTCAACTTTCAAAGTTGATGTAACTATTACATTAAGCTGCAGTTTTGACTGAGTTGTAGTGGTAGCCAAGGTACAAAAAGGAAGGTGAGATCAGTTAACTATTTTTCCTTATTAGAAAGGAGGAGCTATGAATTCCTCGATGCACATGAAAGTTGTACCAGTGCTGGATTTTTTTTTTATAAATTTATTTATTTATTTGTTTTTATTTTTGGCTGTGTTGGGTCTTTGTTGCTGCGCACGGGCTTTCTCTAGTTGTGGGGAGCGGGGGCTACTCTTCGTTGTGGTGTGCAGGCTTCTCATTGCAGTGGCTTCTCTTGTTAGGAGCGTGGGCTCTAGGCACGTGGGCTTCAGTAGCTGTGGTACGCGGGCTCTAGAATGCAGGCTCAGTAGTTGTGGCACACGGGCTTTGTTGCTCTACGGCATGTGGGATTTTCCAGGGCCAGGGATCGAACCCGTGTCCCCTACGTTGGCAGGTGGTTTCTTAACCACTGCGCTACCAGGGAAGCCCCCCAATGCTGGATTTTAAAGAAATTTATGTAGTGACCCTCAATGATGCAGTAGCCCAAGGCTTTTAAAAACTTTTTTTCAGCAAATGCAGCATCTGGTTGGTTAATTCTGATACTTACCTTTGATAAAAATGGTAATATCCCATTTTACCAGATAAATGGTAACATACCATTTATTAAAATGTAACTCAGTGAAGGTGATTCTGCAAGAAGCTTATCTCAGATGATCCAGTGTGATCCATGGAAAGACCCAGGGTTTACAGACGAATGGATAGAGAGCATATATTCTAAGCAATTTTTCTTGTTTTTCTCAACAAGATTTTTATTAGGTAGTTGTTGGCAGTGTGGTTATACTCTGTGGTGATCATCTGGAGTAATATGATTTTTGTGTTGCTGGTTGAGGGTGAATTCATATGCTTTAAAACCAAGAACAGGTGTTCAGGTTGATATTCTATTTTGGATGTGAAGGGACCCAACCAAGACATTCACCTGAAATAAAGGTGAACTTTTCCATGGAATTAGGTGCTTGGCTTACCTACAAGGAAAACCAGATTTTCCTTCCTGAAGCGATTTTAAGTTCCTTTCAGCACATAAACTAGTTCTTGACAAGGTATAAAAAAGTAAATACCATGGAAATGGTTAAAATTATTTTAGTTTTGAAAAATTTCAAAGCAGGAAGCAGCATCACTTTTGGTTGCCTACACAAACTCTCTTAGTCTGTTCAGGTGGCTGTAACAAAATACCATAGACTGGGTTGCTTATAAACAGCAGAAACTTATTTCTCACAGTTCTGGAGGTGGGGAAGTCCCAGATAAAGGTGCCAGCATGGTTGTGTTCTGGTGACAGTGCTCTTCCTGATTCACAGCCAGTGCCTTCTTGTGTCCTCACATGGTAGAAGGGTTGAGGACTCTCTATGGGGTCTCTTTTATAAGAACACTAATCCCATTCATGAGCACTCCACCCTCATGATCTAAGTACCTCCCAAAGGCCCCACCTCCTAGGACCATCACATTGGGCATTAGGATTTCAACATATGAATTTTGGGTGGTGGGGGGAGGGGGCAGGAACACAAACATTCAGACCTTAGTGCAAACCTTCAATAGTTAACTTCTGCGCATTATCTGTTACAGTGTTACATGAATTTCTAGCTATAAAATTTAAAAAGTAGTTGAACAAAGGTAAATGAGCTCTGATGTGAAATAGCTACATGGTGTTATTTAATATGAACCACTTGAATATTTGGAGAATGTTTACTAATGAACATTACTTTTGTCTTATGATGCCCTGCTTTCTGAAAAAGAGGGAGTAGGATCAATGATTCATTTAGATCATTTCTGGTTTGGAAAACACAAAATAATCACTCAGGAGGAAAGTTTTCTTTCTGTTTTTTTTTTTTTGTGGTACGCGGGCCTCTCACTGTTGTGGCCTCTCCCGTTGCGGAGCACAGGCTCCGGGCACACAGGCTCAGCGGCCATGGCTCACGGTCCCAGCTGCTCCCCGGCATGTGGGATCTTCCCGGACCGGGGCACGAACCCATGTCCCCTGCATCTGCAGGCGGACTCTCAACCACTGTGCCACCAGGGAAGCCCTTTTCTGTTTTTTATTTCAGAAGAATTTATAATTATATGAATACAGTTGACTCTTGAACAACACAGCTGGGTTAGGGACCGCCCCCACCCCTGTGCAGTTGAAAAATCCTCATATAAGTTTACAGCTGGGCCTCTGTATCCACAGTTCCGCTGTATCCACGGTTCCTTCACATCTGCAGATTCAACCAACCCAGGAGCATGCAGTAGTGTAGTAGGTATTTATTGAAAAAAATCTGAGTATAAGTGGATACACAGTGCAAACCCATGTTGTTCAAGGGTCAACTGCACTTAGATTTTTTTTTTTTTCCCTTACTAGTAGGTACAAGCAGTCATGTTTCTTCCTTAAGGAAACCTGAAGAGGACGATATGGCTTTCTTTGAAAGACGATACCAGGAAAGGGTAAGTCTGTAGGAAGATGCTTACATTAAGCATTTACTTGTAACAGAGGCACTGTAGAACAACTATATATTGATTGTGGATCATCATTAAAAATAATTTATAATGTCTACTTATAGCTAGTGTTAGGCCTTGAGGCTTATTTAGAACAATTCAGAGAGAAACAGGACTAATGAATATGATAATTTATGGAGGTCATGAAGATTGACTAAATATACACATAAAATTGTCAATAATAAAGATCAACTTGAGCAGATTTGTAAATTATATATATATTGAATTCTTTTTTTAAAATTAAGTAATTTATTTATTTTTGGCTGCGTTGGGTCTTCATTGCCGCGCACGGGCTTTCTCTGGTTGCAGTGAGTGGGGCCTTCTCTTCATTGCGGTGTCCGAGCTTCTCATTGCAGTGGATTCTCTTGTTGCAGAGCACAGGCTCTAGGCACACGGGCTTCAGTATTTGTGGCACGTGGGCTTAGTAGTTGTGGCTTGTGGGCTCTAGAGCGCAGGCTCAGTAGTTGTGGTGCATGGGCTAAGTTGTTCCATGACATGCGGGATCTTCTTGGACCAGGGATCGAACCCATGTCCCCTGCATTGGCAGGCGGATTCCTAACCACTGGGCCGCCAGGGAAGTCCCTGTATATTGAATTCTTAATGTACAGTATTTCTTCTCCTTAGTGGCTTCTAGGTATAGGCAGACTCAAGTTAGAATTACCCAATAGCCTTTAAGAAGCAGAACACTAAACATAAACATATTTTAACAATTTTCAGGGCTCAACAACTATAGTGTTGATGTGTTCCCTGCTTTCAGTAATGATAATTTTCATCAGTTCACCACCACACCATAAACTCCTTGGGGATAAGTATAGTATTTTTTTATTATCTGTATTTTCCCCAGAACTAAGTGCCTTGTACATAACATGTTTTCAATAAATATTTATGGAAAATTGAAAAGATAAATACAGGTATAATTGATATTTGCTTTCACACGTCATCTACTTACACATGTGATGTGTTTCATTTCAGTGTTCATATTTGAAAGTTTTGTTTTGTTGTTGTTTATTGCCAGGTGAGGGGATGCTGGCTTGATGAGGCATGGGGGATTGTATCCAGCCATATGGTACATTCCCCAAAGTGCTTTCCTTAGGATTATTTCATAGTTGCTTTGTGGGCATTCATTGTCTCTCTGACTAGGTAGTAAGTGCCATGAAAGTAAAGACACTCATCACTTTTTGTTGTATTCTCTACAACTCTTAAACAAGAGCTTGTTGAGTAACTAAAGGTGTGGAAAAAGGAGACCATTAAATAAATTCACCATCCAAGGGCAGAGGAAGTGAGTAGGGAACAGAGAGATTAGCACGTCTTTCCTAATGAAGAATTTTAAAGTAAAGGGGGACAGTCCTTGGTATGACTTAAGGCAGTGATAAATATTGTCTGTGCTATAGCCATTCATCATATGTGGCTATATATGTCTAAATTTAAATAAATTAAAAATTATTTCCTCAGTCACACTAGCCATGTTTCAGGGGCTCAGTAGCCACATGTGGCTAGTGGCTACCTTGTTGGGCAGTGCAGAAAGTTCTTTTGGAAAGTTCTGATCTAAGAGAAAGAGGTGGTGGTAGATTTTCAGGGGGGAGGATGAAATAGAGTGAGGAAAGAAGAGGCTATGTTTGCAGCATCATCAAGGCTAGACTTTTTTTTTTTTTTTTTTTTTTTC